CATGGGATATTCTTACTTTCCACTTATACAACCCAAATGTACTTTGGGGGTGGCGAACATGAGGGAACCAGGTGGTGGATAGACGATTGCATAGGGTTTTATGATTATGGGACAGGGAACGAGCGAAATTGTTGACTAAGAAAGAAATTTTCACATTTATATCGGCAATTATGTTAAAACGGTGACTCTCACTAAAACAGTATTATTAGACTGCGGATGTTTGTACAAATTCAATTTTCTATGGATGTAGATAATGAAGTGAAATTTAAATGAAAATGTCTCTTATTTTCTAAACAATGTAACTGTAATAAATGTTCTATATTTTTGAAGTTGTTCCTCCATCCTCATTTGCCATAAATGAACTTCCGCAGCCCACTCATTAGAAACAAACAACTGGAGTACTATTATTTTTGCCCACGAAATTGGGTTAGTACTTCGAAATTATTGGGCCCCAATAATTCAATAAGCTCTCATCTCCTTAAGAAATTGGAAGAAGAAGAAAAACAAATCAATTAAGCCAACCGTAATCATTCCAAGAAACGATCTAAATATATCACAGAAGATATGGGAGCGAAGATAAAACTCAGAAGGAATAGAGGTTGAGAAACCCTGCTCCGGAGGGTCTGAAAAGCGTTCGTTTACATCTGTGGGGGTGAGTGGGTTCTCAGGGGCGGCCACGTCGTCGTCAGAACGGAGTTTATGCTACGAGAATAGCGAGCCGGGTATCCGAAAAGTTTTGGCGCGAACGCAGTCGGATGAAGCGCGAGTTCCGGTGTCTTAATTATTTCGGAGTGTTTTAATTATTTTCAGCGGTGTAGCGTCGCCGAAAAAACGTGGGAAACCGTGGAAATTTGAACGGTGGCGGTCTGCAGTAACAGTGGAAGCGTTGATCGTCGGCCTATCCGATAAAAGTACAAGGTTAACGTCACTCGTGTATGGGACTGATAAGAACTACCACGCATCGTTCTAATAACTCACACAACCGAACGCGTCGACGACAACTGAAAACTATCTTTAATTACGTTCGCAATTACATAACCGCCTCGAGCCGTGGCCACGATGCCCCCCACCCCCCTTATTTTCCTTTGTTATTGTATCGGCACATTCGTGTTCAGGAAATACAAAAAAAAAAGAAAAAGAGAGAGAAAAAGTTTGATTCCGTTGTTTGTGCAAAGCAGAAAACTAATCGTTTGGACGTTAAGGTATGCAGAATTTACTTTAATTACTCGCCAACCTTGGCTACCACGCTTTATGTTACCAGCGATGTCATTGAAAGTATAACGGAAAGACATAAGGAAGTGAATTGAGTGAAAAGATAAGATTTTTCTCTGATTTTGAAGTAATAGAATTTTCTTTCCATTAGAATGTGTTTTTACTGCGCCTGATAGAAGAGATTCGCGTAGAATATATTGACCTTCGAATGTATGCGTATAATGTATGGTAATGCGCAGCGTATGTATGCATACATGTTTAACGTAGACACTAAATTGCCTCCGTACGTTGAATTACGATTTTATAAGAATAGCTCCTCGGAAGGTCAGCCGAAGATCAGCGTATTATACATGGTTAAATTTGTCGTTTCATCAACGGCAGTATTATATCATTAAAAACGAAGCATTCTATTTGAAAAATTATCAGTGACCTTGAAATATCCGAGTACGTGACCTTGAGGAAAAGATCTTCATCTCTGTACTTATCTTCACGAAACGAATATTTTTCTCGTTCTCGTGGGAACAATCGTTGAATAAATAAATATCGTACGCTGTTAAACCTGCTACAATTTGGAAGAACAATTTCACAATTGTTTCAAATAATGTCCAGGCTCTGTTTATTGGCTCGATATAGATATTGTACGGTCCCTGAGCCTCTCCAGAATAAACGAACAATCCCCCAGTGGGTCAAGTTCGACCGAAACGCAATCACGAGCTTTCGTTACCGTTGGTAAACGCATTTTAACGCGATATCGGCGATACCTCCCGAACGGCTGCACTTTACTCAGCGACAGAGTAGCCAGACACGGTGGCTAGAACGTTGAATAATTATTCGCAAAGTGTAACCGTTTGCAAGCAAATTAATTGTGGGACGTCCCGGTAACCTCGTTACTTGTTCCTAGCGTTCGTGCTTTCTTCCTCTTCGGCGCGCTTCAAGGATCTACGCGTGCAGATCGAGCGAGACGAGCCATAAAACGACGTCGTTACACAGGCACTGTAAAATTATCGAATTACCAACTGTATCGTTTCTTCGTTCCTCGAGGCCGTGCTTTCCACGCTTATTACTTTACGCGCGAACGCGGTACACTGAATCAAACGGCCTAATTTTCTCTTTGATGTTCCGTTCGCGGCAGTCCGTCGGGCAAATTTATCGGTCGCTCGAAATATCATGCGTTTCGCCTGCCCTTGTTGATTATTTTCGAGAATTTTATATGAAAGCCGAGGTTACTTAGGCTGGAACCCAAAAATGTTGCTTTTGATGCTCGAACGATACGTTTACCAGCAGGACAACGCGAGGGCCCGCGTTTCTTTACCAGTCAGAAATAAATTGGTAAGGTTCCATTTGAAGAAAGGTAATAGAGCAAAATGGATCGTATAGAATTCGGTAATGTAACGTAAAGCATAAAATATTACTAAAAAAACGAGGGAAACTTTAAGGACAAGGTAATATTACTTCCCAAAGGAGATGATACGCTCCGAATGAACAGCCAAGAAGAAACGAACGCTTTTCCCCCCGAGACGAGTCGAGCACCGATGCTTTTTATAGACACCCCCCTCCCCCTCCCGTGTTCGATAAACTCGAAAGTCAATCGATGTCAATTAAAGAGCGCGCGAGCTTCATTAGAACACAATTAAAAAAAAAAGCCCGGTCGCGTAATTCTGGCGGTTTAAACGCGTCGTTAAAATTTGTCGGTGTACGTAGGTACACGAAACGTCGACGAAAAAGGGAATACGAGGGCTCGTCCAATTCTCTGTACGGAAAGTAGTTACGTATTAAAAGTTCCTTTCATATTTAATTACAGTTTCTGGAATTTTGTCTCGTATCGCGGGCCCCTTTAATTTAATCTCATTTCTATGCAAGCTTTTCAAACATCCGCGCGGCAGCTCGACTCTATTCATTGGAATACTGGTACTCCATACTTTTCCACGCATTCCTCACCCCCGCGAAAATCCTTTGGCATAATAAACACGACGAATCCGCGAATGATGCGTTTCACGAACAATTTTTCAAGTTTAACCACTTGCGAAAGGTGTACGAAAGTTCGTAATTATAAAATGATCAGAAAATACAAGTTATAAACATACAAATAATCTATTCTTCATTTGCCAAATAATTCTACTAAATTTTGGAGTAACTTTGAACCAGAAGTCGGAAACATTAATATTACAATAATCAAAATTTCTTGAAATATCTATTTTATCTCTGTATAATATGGATTGCTCTACTAAAAAAAGGTTTGGAAAATCATGCTCCGATACTGCATCCTTCTGCGAATATTTCATTTCGTACTCAACAATTTTACCAAGAAAGAATAAATGAAATAATATGTTTATACTTAAATGGAATTGTGTCGAGACCTCGTGTTTATTTTTAATTCCAGACCATGTCACTTTCAGCGAGTCAAGTGCAAAGACATGCGATCGTGCGCAGCAGTTGTTGCTTAATAATTATTTGACAACAGGTCGACGCGAGACTTAAACAACACAGGATTAAAAAAGAGGCTGCGATGGCTCGACTACTTTTCAAACAAAGTTTCCACTTTCACGGCGAAACATTCTTTCTCCGATAAGATAGCATTTCCACGCGAAGAATCTTAAATAGATTGTCAAACGGGTATCAACATTCCACCAACTCGTATTACGGGCACCAAGATAATTAAATTTACTTGTTCAGTGTCAAACGCAACGATTAAACGCTGAAAAGAATGTCAACAATGGTAGGTCTAGTGCTCTCCTAATAAACAGACTACACTAACTTTAATAAACAGCACAGTACTGAAAAGTAATTTTTAAAACAAAATCATTAGCAGCGAATATAAATATAACAATTTCAATGATAAATGGACAATTTTAATTGTCCAAAACATTTTCATGACAGTAAAGCCTCCATTATGTGAGTTAATTGAGAAACAAAAGACCAACGAGTGATTGGCACTCGATTCTACATAATTTGTTTGCAAATAACTTTAATAGGCGCTAACAGAACATTTACGTCGGATAATATATCGAGGCAAGCAGCTGATCGACAAACTAAATTAAATTGTCCTTACGAGCAGTACATATTTACTCGTAAACTAAATTGATAGTATTAATTAACGCACGTTAAGCTACGGAATCAGATCAGTGAAACGGAATTGCGGGAAGCAAACAGAAACGAAATTGATCGCGAAGAGGTGTCCTGCCAAAAACTGTAGGAAAATTTGTTTGCAAACACAAGCTGGCCAGCGTTCGCGAGAGAACACTCATCGGAGCGGAATTTGTAGCGAATAGAATTTATATTCGAGTCCCATGATAGCTGCCAAGAGCCGTATCGAAGCCAATTCAATTTACCTGCAACCCGAAACTGACCTTTAACCTAAAAATTATGTATTCGCAGAGCATCGACGTTCCCTCAACGCTTAAGAGTAATTTCAAATGTCACACGTTAGTTCTCATTTCTAACACACGGCGCAACACGAGCTTCCCGATCGGAGTCACAGACGCGATAACGATTTTTCGAACGTAATGAATATCACCAGAAAATGCCAACCTGTTCGCAACGTACAACTTCGTCGATGACGCAATTACTGGAAGATTCTTTCGTTTCGTAGCTGTATCCGTGATCCTCGTTAACAATCGAATCTTGAAAACCGTCGTGTAAAAACGGATAGTAGAAAGATAAACGCGAGAGTTCCGCGAAAAGCGTCCAAACGATAACTAACCTAACAGCAGATTATGACTCGCGACATCAACAGACCGCGGCTCTCGTATCGACCACTATTTACGAATCGTACACTTTGGAGTACTTACATAAATTGTGAGCAGCGATGTTGCCCTCCGTCGGCAGGTCGTAGAGCAAGCGTATAGTATATCCAATAATCCACAGAGAGAAAAAACGCACTGATCAAACTCTCACTTTGCCTTTTTTTTTATCGCCGAGTAATCGGCTTTTCTTTCGAATCACTGATTCAAATCACACGCGACGAACAGTCGCACCACATCGAGGTTTCAACGGCACACACCTTTCACGAAGCACCACAAACAATACGGAATTGCATATCAACGAAGAGTACTCGATCTCGAGAAGTCGTTGTGTTGAACAGCACCAGCTTCTCAATGTCTCTGTGCGCGTGTACGTGATACCCTGGGTGTTGTATCCGGGGCGAAGAAAACTCCTTTACTGAAAACCACGAACGTTGCTTACGACCATACTTCGAGCGACGCTCCGAAGGAACTGCCGCGCTCTCGCGGTACCACGGACGCGCGCTTTACTCCGTGAACTTGGATGAATCGAAAGAACCCAATCGCATCGTGCGAAATCGATTGCCGTTAAGCGCGAAAATCCAACTGTACTCCGAATCGGCGACGCGTGGCGCGTCAGACAGGGAGTTAAATCTAACTAACCACGATATGGAAAACGGGCAAAATTTTGTGCAAATAACAAACGACGCACAAGATCTATCAGTTGATATATCAAATAGGATCTATCGCGATATCAGTTGGAATAGTCTAGAGAGAATGATTTTCGGGTAACTGGTTTTGGAACTATCTATTTTTTTTACTTATTATCGATTATAATAGATCGTGGTAGGCTAGAAATCGATGGGAAAACCCGGAACCGGTAATTCACTCCAAAACTACTGTAAGAAATCGGAGCAGCGGTCGATTAAAGCAAGTAATTGGGCGATTCGATAAAACCCGTTGGAGGACGCGATGTACCTATCGACAATCGAAGATTCTCTCTAGCAAACGGCGAAACGAGACGGATCACATATAGAGCGCACGCGCGCGTTCTAACGCGCTTTCGTTACGTAAAAGAAGTGCGCGTCGGTTGAACGTCACCGCATCGGGATGGTACACACTCATGACTCCTCGGTAAAAGGCGTAGAGAAGTGGTGTCGGAGAACCGGGTATATTTTACCACGGACGCGAAAGGCACCGTGTGTTAACCTACTTCTCCTTCCGTTGACTGAAACTCTTCGCACCACCAACGACGAACGTGGGACAACAACCGCGAACGAGAAAACCCACACGGACGGAAGGGTTGTACACGCGGGTTCTCGTTGTCTCTCCTCCTCACCTCGCGACGGGCGCGCGCGGGACCCTCTCCTTCGGGGTTCGCTGTTGTGTCACCGCGACACCGCGAAACCAGAAAACAAACAACTGCCCGTCGAGGACGCCGTCTTATTTGCAGGAAAGCTCGGCTCTTTTTCACTGGGCGGAACTCGTTGTCGTTGCGAGGGAAAAGAGGGACACAGAGGGAGAATGAGGAACACACATACACACACTGATGCGAGCGCGCGCGCGTGTCCAACGGGAGGGAATGAGAGAAGATAGAAGGAGAAGGAGAAAAAGAGAGAGAGACAGGCGCGGCAGAACGTCACACAATCCGACTACAACGGAGGTCCGACTCGAACTGAGCGCCGAGCGGCTGATCGAGGCCGACGTCGGCCGACTCGACCGAACCGAGGCGCTCGCCGATAGCGCGCTCCCTCCCTCCCTCCCTCACTCCTCGCGCTACTCGCCTGCTGTTCGCCCTCCCGCGCCCTCCCGCGTACCCGCTCCAATGCATCGCAGCCGCCACCCTCTTGCCTCTTGCTCTTCCCTCTCACGAACACACGGCCCACCTTCCTCGCCGCGCGCGCTCCGTTCCAATCCTCCCGCTCAGACTCGCGTTCCCGCTCTTTCCCCTCTGGAACAAGCTCGACGCCGCGACGCGGCGTCGAATCCCCTCCCCTCTCATCCATCGCCCACCCAACGCCACCGCGTCCCACCAAAGTTTCCGACACACCGGTAACTTATCGGAATTTACTCGTTACTCCGAATTCGTGAGCGACCGCGTGCTGAACGATAATGCTGCGCGCGAGAATACCAATAGACGCGCGCCCCGCACCGACGGATTTTAAACCTGGGACACCCACGCTCTATTTTTACGGTACATCGAGTAAGTACACTTGAACTTTTTTATTAATAACCTTACACGTTCCAGTGATAGGCTAACGGAAACTGTTTGCGTTCGCGGTTTGCGATAAGTTACGTGTAAATTGAACGTCGAGGACGTTGAAGACGAGCGTTTGCCATCGAACCATCCGAAGCATTTTGCTCCGTATGTGTAACTGTAAATGTCTAATATTTCTGTTCAAATACAATGCTGACATAATTTTTCCAAAACCTTTTTTATATAAACTTTTGGAACTGTGAATATCGAGCATGAAAGAGGATTGCTGTTGCAACACTAGAAAGTAAAAAGCGCGTTACATTGAATAGAGTTTTATTTGGGTTACCTGCTCGCTAGTGGTACCTACCCTGTGCATGGCATACTCGACTTCGGTATAACGAGGTTCGTTGTGCTCAAATTTCGTGTACACCGGCTGGCCTGATCGATAATTGGCAGCGTATCGTTGTCGAGCAAGAAATTACTGGTAGAGGTTTTCACGGAAAGGTTTCCCAGTGTTTAACGCTTGCTAAGGAAATTGTTGTCGAGCGAATCGGTAAGGGGGTTGAGCCACGAATGCTAATGGAACACCACTTACGCGCTCGTGTCTGTCTCGCTTGCTCCAGAATGATACGATAAACGATACAAGGCGGAGATAGGTTATTACACGGGTGTATTATGAGACGTAGTGTGTATATAAGACAACGAAGAGTAGAAGAAAAGTGACTAACAGAGCCGACAAAAACGAAGCGTGCGCTTGTATAGATATAGTTGGTCCAACACGCGTGTATGCATAGTTATTAAAGTATAAATATAACATAAACGTAACTTAACTGTCCGTGAAGCAATGCAGCAGAAGAAGTACACGTCGAGGGGAGCGTGGCGCACACACTAATTACAAGGCTTCAAATTAATTAAACTAATCCATTTCAGATTTTGTTCGTTACCAACACATTCGATTAACCCCGCATATGTTGGACTTGCCAATCTGTTTATTAATTCAGCACATTATTTTCTGCGTGAAGGTAGCTCAGTATTATCAAATGATTAGCAACATATTTTTAATTACCTTTGATACGCAATAGAGCAACAAGATGGAAACGCAAATTAAATTTATCACTTTAGTTATGTAAATATCGAAGCAGGAAGTCAAAGACTTTTCTGACAATTATACTCAAACGTCAGCGCTCTAATTGCACGTAGTGATCTACTTTCGTATGCAATTGTAGACCACGCGGAATTTCACTGGAAAATACGATACCGTGAAAGTGAGTTATGATGACGTTTAAACGTTATTATTAGAATAACAAATGTGTATGGATACATCGCGAAACAATACAATGCGGAGCGCCTTCATACATGAAATATCGCGAACGCTGAAAAATGTAAGAACTATCGAATCGGGAAACATTGGAAAGTTTCCAAAAAAAGAGATCATTACTTTGCTGTGGCTCCTGGCTGCCTTTGGAAACTCTCCAGAAGATGTGTAGCGTTGGCTCCTAGCGCAATATCGGCGAAAGTCTGTTTCGAAAAAAAACACAAGACGAAATTAATAACATCCTGCCGCCTCTTCCTTTATACTTTGTAAAGAAGATATGATCCCGAAGGATTCGATAGAAAATATTCAAACTTGGATACACAAGCACCATATCAGAACAAAATCGTTCCTCATATAAATAAAAAATTTCAATTAAAGCTTCTCCAAGTATGTAATTTCCTAGAAAATTCATTTTAAGATGTCATAATATGATTTTGCAATAATCGTAGGTTCGAAGGTAGCCCGAAGCCAGTATTCGATAATAAACAACTCAAAGTCGCAGACGATCATTACGATCTCGTTCGAGCTCCGTCCTGTTCCCATTCGATAATCGGGCACGGCGATCGACAAATTGCACGTAACGCGCGTTTGTGCAACTTTTTTCTGCCACCTTCGAAATCCGTGACATGACGGGGCACGGTTGTACGCGAAACCTTGCCGACTTACCAAAGCCGTTGAGCAACTTTCGTACGTGTCTAGTCGCTACTCGCGCCGATGTCCAACAAGTTGTCGACATCGCGCTGGTAAACACGGCAACCGATAGAGACTGCACGACATTAATCACTTGAAACGCCCGTCATCCGCCTCATCTTCGATCGCGCAAGGAAGACACGTTTCGTGTCGATTTTGAGGAGGTGGCCCGGCTTAAGAGACGCACGAATGAATTGGCACTTCTCCAAAGTGCAAATTTCACGTGTGGATTACCGCGGGAAACGCGGTAACCGAAGGATCTTATGCATACCACCTAACGCCCGTTTAAAGATGAATCATTCCGTTGAGGCCGGCCGCTTTTAGTCCATCTTAGCTCTAAACAGGGAAACAGCAACACCTTGGGAGTGTTTGGTTGGACGTCAGCTATTAGATAAGTGACAGAGGGGAGCAAATAATTTGGATATGAGGAGCAAGCTTTTATTTGGATATCACACGTATCGAAACTTGAGCTTTGATTTCTCTTCGTTAATTTCTGTAGAGATCTATACGACGAGTAGGACTGGTTGAGTATTTTGATTGATTCTTAAATGTATAGCGACCAAGTATACAAAGTTGCGGAATTGTTGGTATGTAATTCCTATGAACGAGGGAGGAGGAATCGACTGACGCCAATTACGGCGATGTAGCAACGCGATCGAGCAGCGTGCGTGGACGAAGACGGTGCAAAAACGAAGGAAACGACGAAGAAAGAGCGAACAGAATGGCAAATCTAGGTCACGACCCAAATCATTCTCCACCGGCCTCCGTTTGAATCTTTCGCAATGCATGAAAGTGCCCAAAGCGTTTCGAAAGCACCCGCGCGAGGGAATACCCTGTTTCACCGCGAGCTTTCCTCGTTTTCTCCAATTGAATCTCGAGAGAAGCTTCAAATAAAACCACGGAATCGCAGACATGCATTAGGTATGTTCCTTGTCTGGGGCTCACTTGGATATTTCATACGCTCTATGAAACGTTCATATCCTTGCAATAACATTGGAGCTTCCTATGCTATAGAAATTTTTGCTGTTAGCTCTTATTGTCGAAACTGTTTAAAAATAATGTAGATGTAAGATGTAATGTAGATGTAGTTGCGAGCAACTACATTTCTCAAGTTTCATTGTTGCGTCCCTTCTTCGAGATCTCTTCAGAAACTTATTTCTGAAATACCTGAGTATATACTTATTAGTCATGTAATTTTAATGTGTCTATGGATACTCGATATAAATAATCAATTCCTCTGAGAATATACTCCTAAAAAGGTATCCAAGGAAGAACAAAACGTCAAGTAATTTCATAATTCAACAACTATATTCCACCGAATGTTATAAATATATAAAAAGAACGAATGCCTCGAAGTAATTTAATTACTTTTCGCATTTGGTTTTACTTTCCTTCTGAACTGCTTTCTCCTCCGATGAATAACATTCCTAAAAGTCGTGGTAAAAATTACACATGTATGCATAACGGCATCCGCAAGTGAACGCCAGCTACGTAAATATAGTCGGTAGCGAATGTGTTAATTCCATCGGATTCTCCGCATACCGCGTCTCCAAGTTCAAAGAAGAATCCGCGAGTGTGTGATTCAATGACGCGGAGGAATTAAAGCGCTGTCCCAACGCTGGTGGATAAGTAATGAGGCGTATTCCCGAACGGGACCGATCGGAGCGGAAACACGTGTTACCGGGAGTTTTTCGAACGAGGCCTGAGGAAATTTCTGCAGGCAGCCTTGAGAGTGCACTTGATACGCGAGCGCGTGCCGCGTAAACGCAAGGTAACACGCGAGTAAGCTCTCGTCGTCGATGCGCTCAGAGGCGTCCCGACGGTCGCACTGCTCGGTTGGTCGCTCATCCCGATCTCTCGATGTCGAGACCACGATTAAAAATATACTAGAAACATTTAGAAATCGTAGTATGATACAACTTAATATTTTCTTTTGAATCTCCAGGACAAGTTCGCACTTTTCTTCCTACTCTAAACCGATTTCAACCGGAAATGACTTCGCTAGATTTAGATAATTTAAAAATAAAAATGAGTTAACGAAACGTCATTTGCTAAATGACATTTTTAAAAAGGTCACACATTTCTGCATACATATTACTCCATTTAAATAAATCACTAACAGTCTTACGACTGAGGGTTCGTAGAGGTATAGGAAGTTAAAGAGACCGAGGACCGAGTAATAGAAAATCTGATGAAAAGTACAGGTTTACTCCCATCAGATGGCCGTTTTAAAAGCCAGTGTGTCGCATTCGCGCACACGCACGCAGCTATATGTGCAACTGCAACGATCCACGCGTGCACGTTAAGCCATGCATCGGACAGCTGCAACGTTGCCTCCCGTGCATCGGGTGCACCGTCGCTGCATCGTGTGCGTTGTTGCCAAGCCATCGTATCACGGTGCATTCCCATAGAACCGCGAACGCGCGTGTACTCTCAGCCTTCAGAACTTCGCGACCACTCGAAACGACC